AAACGCACACGCAAACGGGCGCAGACACGCGCACGCGCGCACACACACACATGCACACGAACGCACGCGCGCATGCCGACCTTCTTCGGCGTATAGGCCATGCGTATGTAGGTGCAGTAAAAAACGATAAAACGGTGACCGGATGTACAGTTGGAGATGTTAAATCCTGCGCTTCTTCATGAGTTCTAACTGGCACGCACAGCGCGGTGTACGATTTGTGTGCGGTCGCGTGAGGTACCCGAGCAGCTGACTGCAGCAAGCCTGGGATCACGGAAACGCCGTGAGCGCATTGCGCGGTTGGCGACAGCGCTCGTGATGCGTCAGCGCCGACTGCCGCCAGCGCACGGGCTGCCGGTGGAGTCGCCAGCGCGGCTAGGATGAGGGTAGTCTGCAGGTTAGGAAGCCAACATCATAACCAGCAGGCGGGGTGATGTTACGCGGGAAGCCAAAACGATATCTGGAAGACAGCTATCATATTGAGTGGGAAGACAAAACGAGAGACAGAAATAATATTAACTAATAATAAACCGATGACTAGGATGCACACATAATGAGACTATTGAAATCATAGGCATAGAAGGCCGCGAATAATATCACTTGTATAGAAAAAAACCCCAACTATTATTCTACAGGTATATATGAGATATACTATTCAGCAATAGAAATCAACGACGGGAAGACAGAAATTATAATTCGTAGGAATGCAAAACTACAAAACCACGACTAGCGGTCACATAATTAATTTTATATTCCGTATGTATATATATATATATATATATATATTTATTCGCGAACAGTTAATAGATAGATATAATATTCCTATGGAAGACAAAATTGTTAGTGTTCCAAAGGAAGGCAAACTGATAACCATAGATGACATAGATTATTCCGAAGCCAAAATTACGATTGGGAGGCTGGAAGATTCTCTACAGGATACTAATGCGAAGGTCCTGTAGTGATAAGAACACGATTCCCCCTCACATAGCGCATACCTCCAAGCATGGCGACCACTTACATTTACATTACATCACCGCACGCCCGCGGGCGAAAAGGTATCGGGAATGCTCTCCTCCTCCTCCTCCTCCTCCTCCTGCCATCGCTCCATGCCTCCCCTCCTCTTCCTCCATCTTTCTCGCTCCTCCCCCTCCTGCTCTGCCTCCTCCTCCAACATCATCCTCGCGCATTCTTTCTCCTCCTCTCGCTCCTCCTCCTCATCCTCCTCCTCCTCCTCTCCTCCTCCCTCCCGCTCCTTCCTCCTCTTTCCCCTATTTTCCCTAACTCGCTCCTACCGCTGGCCTTCTCCTCCGCTCCTCCCGCTCCTGCCTCTTCTCTCCACTCCTTCTCCATCTTCTCGATCTTCTCTCTCCACTCCCCTGCTCCT